GAAAGGAAGGAAGGAAGGAAGGAAGGAAGGAAGGAAGGAAGGAGGGGGATAGAAGGGGAGACAGTCATCGGAAGCAATTCTCTTTCTGAGATCAGGGGTGTAACCCCACCCCACCCCCGAGACCCCCACCCCCACCCCCGGAGCTCAAGAGATGCTTACAACATCCGTCTCTAAGGCTTCCAGGTCATCGGCAGTGGCGCCTTCTCCTCCGTCCCAAGGCTCCAGGTCCTTCTCCTTGTGCTCACCATTCACTTTCGCACTGATGGCAGAATCCGTGAAGGCATCTGAGACGGAAGGAAAACGTCATCGCCTTTTGGGGTGTGGGAGGCACATTCTACCTTGTTTGCAAGTCACGGCTAAAGGGGGCCCCCTGTGGATCCCACCCAGGCTGAGTCAGAAGCAAAACCCTCTTCAAATCCAGTAGAAGAAAGAAAGGAAGGAAGCACCGCCTAGAACCGAGGTTAGCACCCTGGCTGGGCCATGAGACAAGGCGGCAACCAAGCTCAGAGAGCAACAAGGATCCCACAGTCCTCCTCCTCCTCTCCACAAACCCAAGTCCCTCCTCGCACGGATGATGTTGCCTAGCTGGGTAAGGAAACGTCTGCAAGAAAACCACCAAGCTCAGAGAGCACCAAGGACCCTCACAACCTAAAACAGAATTCTAGCTGACCAGTCCGTAATTGGGACCCCTCAGGACCTGCAGAATTTACGGGACGCGTAGTAACCTACGACGAACAAGACCTCGCATCGCTCATCCGAGCTATGGTCACTGCCATCCCTGCATAAGCTCAAGAACCTTTTCAGATTCGTTTTTCTTTTTCCAGAAAGAAAGGAAGTTAAGAGCCAAGGAGACGCCGCAGCTGAATAAGCGTCTCCATTTCCCAGCTGAAGGTCTGAAGTTCTTCCCCCTTCGATGGATCCCGTCTCGGGATTCAACCGGTCCCCAATCAATCACGAAAAGTCAGAAGGTGCCGGAAGCATTTGAGCCGGAGACCCAAGAAATCCCGTGATTTCTTCTTGCAGGACAGCCACTCTTGACAGGGCTGGCATGCAGCTCCCTCTCCACCCCCTCAAAGATACCGGATCCTCTGGAATCCTTTTGTTATTCAAAGGAACTTCCTGTTCAACCAGTCGAAGAAAAAGTCTTTGTGGTTACTTAGCAGACACTCCGGCTCAACCAACTTCACTCCTCCTTAAGAAGAGACACCCAACTACTGTATTTGGGCACCGAGCGGGGAAAGTAATATGTTTATACAAGATAGGCCAGGCTCACTGGGCCAGAAAAGATCTCTGGAGTTTCTGCAGCACCTCAACAAGGCTTTCCATCCTGCAATCCTTTCAAAGGGGGAGGAAGCGACTTCCTTCAGTGAAGGAGAGTAACTATAGAGCCCAGCACACCGGAGCAACTAGACACAAGGGAGGTTTTTTCCCCCAATGCCATCCCTCTGCTTAACAAATAATTCCCTCAACACTGTCCAAATATTTACAAAGTCTACACTACCATCACGATTAACCTTCTCATCACTCCTTATCACCCCTCCCCTCCCACTGTGACTGTAGGACTCTAACTTTGTCGCTTGTATCCTTACGATTTATATGGCCTGTTTCCTGGTATGATTTGATTGCTTATTATACCCAGTGACTATTATTAAGTGTTCTCCTTTACGACTCTCGGTGAATGTCTCTTTTATGTATACTGAGAATATTTGCACCAAGACAGATTCCTTGTGCGTCCAACCACACTTGGCCAATAAAGAATTCTATTCAATTCAATTCAATTCAATTCTGTTCTGTTCTATATTCTATTCTATTCTCTATTCTATTCTATT